ATGCTTGCAGGGAGTAGAAGTAGCAAATGTTATAGATGGTACTATATACTAGGAATGAACATCAAAAGCCTTGGAGGCTGGGTTCAGAAGCTTATCAGAAGTTACCTCGGCCTATTTGATTGAGAATTCATGCTGGTAATTTCCAAAGATTGGATTTCCTTGTGAGATCTTTAGTAGTTCCTCGTCTGGGTCAGATTAAAGGACAAGAAGAACAGCTCTGCTGGCACTACAGTATTGCTGCTTGCTAGCCTAGATAGAGCTCGAAAGTACACAGATTTAAAGCAATATATAGAAATAAAGTAATCATATAAAGCCACATTTCTTTTCATGCGTTAGAACAGTGCTGCACATGGTATAGTCTCTCCATGTACACAAAGAAAACCCAGACACATTCTTTTATCTTTTCCTTGTTCCCTATATGGGTCAGGCAGAGGCTTCTTTTCATGGAAAGCTCCATGCCTAAAAAAACACGTGGCCAAAATTAGGTACCTAAATTCACAGTATCCAAATAGGGTCCTTGGTATTTATCTTTTCGATGTTGAGACACTTAGAACGCTTGTGCTGAATGCTCAGCACCTCTGAACAGCAAGCAAATTAGGTGGCTGGCTTAAATACATCAAAATTTCCAGTGATTGGCAGGCGTGTGCCCTGAATCTTTTTTCTGCCGTGCATTTTTGTTAGAGAAGGGATACGTATTTCTCAGTTGTCATCGGCACTAAATAGTGGTAAGCTCTCACATCTTGCCATCTAGACAGCCTCAAAAGGCAATGAAAGGAATTCAGCTCACTGGTGCTGCATTGAAAGGGATTCAGGGTAATGTGGTCAAAACAAATGCATCGTTAGTCAGTCCGCACAAGGTAACAATAAATCAATGCATCTTTTTGGAACCCCTGAACGGAAGATGGCCCTGGAGCAGAGATGCCCCGCAGCAGCCGGTGCATGCTGGGCAGGGAGGATGGAGCCCTGCGTCCCCCCGAGGCGCTGCGGGCCGCGAGGAGCGCGCTCCGGACACCAGGTGGCACAAGGGACCGGCCGGGGAGCCGGCCGCCTCCCAGCCTGCAGCCCCATCGCAAGCGCAGGTGCTACAGAGCTGTTGTTTTCCATGAGTTACCCAAAATAGTGAGCGAGAAGTATTTCCAGAGAAATAAAATTTCTGTATCTGGCACTGACTGAGCTTGCAGCATGCTGATGGAAAGAGTGCCTTGTATCATAGCCTGGTGTTATTCCTCCTCATACAGAAATGCTCATGGAGGAGGTTCTGTGTATTATAGCCTCTTAGAGGTCCAATATGAGCATGTTTATCTCTAAAATGATAGTAGTTAAGCTCTTATTCCCATTTACTGATGCTCACAGAATTTTTCCTAGCCAAAGAACTATCTCTTAGCTTTTTGTGCCTACAGACAAAATTAGGAGGGTTGACTCCCAGCACAGAGTTTGCAGCTGAATGTCTGGGCTGGGTGAAAGTGTATTCTGCTTCAATGCCTGTTATTATGGGATGGCTGCAGCACCAACAGCTTTGGCAAAACAGACCAGTACATAATAATGTAAAAATAATTGCCCTAACTTTGTTTTCCCCGCTGGCAAATCCTTTCTGAAAATCCTTTTCTCTTGCTGATTTTTCAGAAATGAACCTAAAATGGAAATATGTATATTTATTACAAAATGTACATGTATTTTTTTAATTTTTAATCTTATTTTTGTCATCCTCCTCTGTGGATCCTCCACTGATGTTTGGATGTGGCTCAGCTCTGTTTCCAAGGAATCTGAACTGTGTGAGAGCCAAAGCCACAGAGGTGCCTGTGCAGCAGAGGATTCAAAGTTTTGATGGAAAGGTTCTTCACATTTCTCAGATCAGCTATTTCCAAACAGTGTCGTTCAAATCTAGGTCACATGGAGGGAGTTTGTCCTTCTCGCCTGTTAAAATTTGTATCAGAAATTGTAGTAAAAATCCATACAGTTTGTGTAATGCGTTTCTTTTGCTTTGAGTTGCTATACTGACAAACAGATGTAAATAATAAGAAAAATAGTTTACAGATGATTTCTTCATTTGTGCTTGGCCAGCATTATGGAGGTTTGGGGTACCCCGTGTCACTGACAGGCAGCATAACCTCTTTAGTGCAGGTTGCATGCCTGGACGTCAGTGTGCTGCTGGGCTGTGTGTTCTCCAGTGATCACACAATTAAGTAGCAATGACTGGCAACACTATTGCTCAATTAGTCTATATAAGATGACAAGCTAGAAGATATTTTGCAAATAGCTCTTCCAGAGTCACTTGCCTCAGTGAATTCGCTTTAGAATGAGGCAGCAGATAGACTTATTTTAACTGAAACACATTTTCCCACATCATCAGTATTTCTTATGGCTGAAAGCAACTGGTCAAATTCTGAGAGTTAGACCAATAAAGACCAGTGAAGTCAGTATATTTGGATGGATAAGACTGAGAGAACCATTGAGCCTTGTCTCACAGTCAGTGTTTATAATAATCTGCAGACGTGGACCATGCAAGGAGGACTATCACCGTACTAGCAGCTTGTCATGAATTGTCATTTGAAATGATAACATAACTGTGCTCATGTACCGTCATGAGGTGGCCTGAAGCCAGAGCCTGAAGCAGCCAGATGAGCTGCTAAAGAGAGGTGATGTCTTTCAAGTCTGAGCAGGTGGAAACAAGATATACATCTCATTCTAGCTGATAAACATGCTACTGCTTTTCTTTGTGCCCTTTATGGGTCAACATTTGGGATGAAAAAGTCTTGGCTGCTCTGTCCTGGGTTTTAGACCGCTAGGATATTACAGAGTGGCACAGTTTGGGCGTCCACAAGACAAACGAATAAGCAGAAAGCACTCATGTAGTTCTACTGTTATTCCAAAGATGTCCTGTGGCAGCGAAGGAGCTCAGTTGGTGCAGTGACCCTGCACTGGGTGTAAGCTCCTCTGTTGCAGTCCATGGGCATACAGGACATTGTTGCCAAGTGAAAGATGGACTTGTAGGTTCTAGTCATAGCTTTCTTCATGTATTTGCTCTGATACTTGTTTGGTATCTTTTCATACATTCTAAATTTGGAGAGGTGGTAGTAGCAGATCAGGAAACCAGCACAACTTTTCATCAAGAAACGATGTGAGAGCCAAACCTCCCTATTTTCTGAGGAGGTATGGGATGTGCTTCGAGGATATTTTTCTAGGAACCAATTCTCAGCCCTTTTACATTCTTGCCAGGGAGTTACAACTTTGCTGTTATCATTACTGTGAGAGTGGCAGAGCACTGGAACAAGCTGCCCATAAAGGTTGTGGAGTCTATTCATATAGAATATGGAGATATTCAAGATCCACCTTAATGCCTACCTGTGTGACCTGTTGTAGGGAACCTGATTTAGCAGGGGCTTGGACTAGATGATCTCTAGAGGTCCCTTCCAACCCCTACAATTCTGTGAGTTTGTGAGGTACTGCTCCTGGCACAGTCTGCAGTGGTAGGCTCAAAGATGTGCCCTCCTGCCTACTGCATGCTGCCTATTGCCTTTCTGCTCCTCTGTCCTTGCACCCATACCAACTGCATTTGCCTCATTTGCTGGGGCTGAAAGATGATTCTTCTCTGTGAATGTCTCCTCCTATCCCTGTGAATGTGGGGAAAATCTGTGCCATGTGCCATGATCTGTGGCCTGAAGTCTAGCTGGGCAGGTTTTGTTCCAAGCCCGCCTGTGGCTGTGTGCTTGGCTGTGTCAGTGTGCATGCAGCTGTTTGCTGGATTTGGGATTTCTCAGTTCAAGTAAAGGGCTGGTCAGGACTGGTTGATCCTTCTTGAGAAAAAATGGGACTTTATCAAGTCATGATGAGCACAAAGAGATGATTGGTGGTAAGGTTGTAGGGAAGAAAATGCCAGAATATCTTGAAGTAAAGAGAGAGAAGATTTATCATAGAATTAAAGATGAAAATAGAGTAGAAATTAGCAGTTGAGAAGATACAGCCTAGAAGAAAGAATACAGTGTTTATTAATGACAGACAGTGAAAGAGTAAATTTAATCAGGATGGAGTACTTGATAACTGAACTTCAGACAAATATGGCATTTGGGAAAACTGATAAGATATTAAAATTAGAGATTGTGAAACAGCGAACGGGACAAAATTTCCTATTGCCAGGGTTTCTGTTGGGTATTTTCTTAAGAGAAATTTTAAATCCTCCCTGAGCTTGCATCTTCTAACTTGTCGTTTCTACAGTATACAGACAAATGGCATCTATTTCTGTAACCTCTGTAAATTATGCCTTCATACATTTGAAGAACCTTCTGTAATGTAACCAAACTGAGTTTATTTCCAATAGGAGTCTGAAGTCCAATTTGCTAACTTTGATGAGAATCGGCATTTCAGCTGTAATATGTCATTAACTTGCTTACATGCATATAATGTAAAAAGCTCAAACATTTTATATTCAGGAAAAGAGAGACAGTATAACTTGTTCACTGAACCCAGCTAAAATTGTCTTCATTCCTCACCCATTTTGCATGATTTATGCTCTATATAGTAATGGGACAAACATAAAATCTGTACATATGAGAAAGAGAAGAATGTCTAAATAGAACCATTCAAAGTCAGGAGTCAGTTTAAGTAGGGAGTCTGTTCTTTTAAAATGCATTAACATTGATCTTGAGTGTTCACCAAATGATAACAAAGTATGGTCCAGAGTGCCTCATTTACCCATTTTCCTACTTTTACCACTATGGCCTATTTCTGTTTTTTGAAACAAAGCCCCTGAATTTGGTCCCTGCAAATAAAACCTCCTGCACTCATGGAATAGTTGTTCATTAACTGTTCGCCCACTTGCTTCATACTCTTTAACAATGTTTTCTCACGCTTTTGGGTAGGAGCGAAAAGAGAAATACTTCACATCCTAAAATTATGCTTCAGATCCACAGTAAATTAAATACATACCGGGGCCAGTGAAGCAATGGAAATGTGCCATGACACTGGAAAACAAAAATGTTCACTTGTGTTTTTGTCCTGATCAGGGTTTTCATCAGCCAAAAGGAGACAGTCTGACTGAGTCAAGCAGAGGAATACAAGCCAAACAGAGGATGGTGAGTTTGTGTCACATGTGTTTTTACACAATCAATTAACCTCTGAGGTCTTGATTTATCACTTTGACTTACAAAGCGGACCCAAGAGAAAGCCATGAGTTGGAGATAAATGTCACTTCTCTCCAAAGATAGTGTGCAGTAGCCGTGTCTACAAGAGAAACTGTCCCAAAGGAGATCCTAAAAGATACCTTTTAGGAATATCTAAAAATACAATGCCTAAGAATTCTCTTTTTTGCACACAAAAGAATGACTTCTAGGTACAAACACTCTACTAGAAACTTGCAACCCCACTGCTGTGATAGATAAGTTTCCTTGATTATGGCCAGGAGGAAATACCACTGCTCATGGTAGAATTAGTTTATATTTTATCTGTCTAAGGCTATTTTCCACATTCAGCTTTGCTCTCCAGCTTTCCTGATTACAGTGTTTGATCAAAGATTTATGGATAAATTAATATTGGTGACAGCCATTCCACTGCCAACCCTTCTGTCATTAAGTGTTGTTTACTTAGCAAGAGTTCAGGAGCAGGGACAACAGTATAGTGGAACAGAGGGAAAATAAAGCCAATTCAATGTTACAACACTAAAATTCATCATCTGAGGTTCTAGTGTGAATAGCGGTAAGATATGGGGAGTGTAAAGAATTGCGTGGCTTAGGTCTTTGTTAGAGAGATTTTTACACAAAACATTTGAAGGATTTGCCCAAAGAGGTTCATAAAATTTGTGTGAGTGAGCTTCCTTTTTGCCTTGCCTGTCCTTGGTGGTGGGAATATTCCCAAGTGGAAGGTAGAGGTGGAACAGATCCATGCAAGACAGCACAAGCCGAATCCTACTGCAGTATGCATGTTCCTTAAAATGTCTTCTCAACACTGTATTCTGATTTAGCAATGAATTATCTCAAAATTATCCACACAAGTCACCTGTCTTTTGGTGTTTACTTGATCTGTCTGATGGCAGTTTATTACCCTAACCAGGCAGCCGGCATTAACCAGCCTGCTTTGCAAGCACCAAATATGCCCTTTAGCCCTTTCTAGGGTCAAATGGGAAGACCTAAGATGTTTTTAACTTCAGTTAATTCAGAAAAATTCTTGAGCACAGTGTCTGACATCTCCTCATTTTACCACACCAGAACAATGCCTGAAAAGTTTGAGTTATTTCATGTAACTTAGAAATGTGAATGTGTTACGAGTCAGCTTTGAATATGGCCTCGATTCCAAAAGGTGTTATCATCAAATCAAAATTATTCACACATGTCAAGTTAACATTTTATTTTTATTCCTTACTCAATTTTTGGCAAGCTTACAGGAGCTGTCAGTGTTTCAGTATTTTGAGAAGAATATTTTAATAAAACAGTGATGTGCTGAAAGGGGTTCACAAGAACTCACTAGAGGCCCTTGTTAAAATTCTGCCACCCTTCAAAAAATTATTCTCTTGCCTCTCAAGGAGTTCACCCCCTCTCTGGATACTGCTAAATCATTTCTGCCAGGGATGAGTTTCATCCCTTGGGGCTCATAAAGATACTTCTGAAGAGCAAATTGTTTGCCTTTGAAATAGACCAGATTGCATGAAATAGCAGACACTTTAAAAATAAATTCCTGGGGTAGCAACACTTCCCCGCTCCCCCCGTGCCAGCATCCCATCCGAGCTCTGCCATCCATACCTCTCGTTGTGTTATACTATCAAGTATTCAATTTATTTCTCGGGAACAGAGTATAAACAGTTCCAGCAAGTGCACTTAATGTAACTTTATTTTTGCCAAGTGGCATTGCCTCCCTGCTAAGCTGTGGTAATGGGAAACCTTTCATATATAAAGGTAAAAGAACAATGGAGCCAGGTTCTCCCTGCTAGCACACAGGGCTTGAGTTTAATTCAGTTTAAAGGAGGAAATTTTTGTAGGACTCTCGTGTTAAAGTATTGTAACATATGACTGTAATAAAATAAAAAACATATTAGGTGCAATGAAAAAATGCAGTACTTGAAATAAAAATTGGAATTCTGGTAACATAGCCCAAAGTGGTTAATTCTTTATTACTTATTTTGATGTGATTGAAGTTCTAACTTAAGGCTGTGTGGACTTATATGTGGTTTGTCTCAGTTCCTGCATATGCCAGACCTTCTTTTTAAATGCTTGTTCAAAAGAAAATATCTGAGTTGAAATCCCTTGTCTCCTAAATGTGATCTTCCCAGTCACTCAAAAGTGGGATCTAATCTGTTCCTTTGTGCTTGTAGGATATCCATGGACCATATTCTGTAATCACTAAATTTGTTCTACGATATTCTTTTTAGTTTAAAAACAGAAGTAAATCCTTATACATCTGATCCAAGTGTAAATGAATAAATATCGTTGCTTTTCATTGGCCAAAAGAAAACATGAATGGTCCTTTTTCTTCATTGGTTTGTTAATCTCAGAACACGAAGAGGACTGCTTAAATGGGAATACAATTAACTCCTTTCACAACAAAATTCGAATGGCCCATCTGATACGTTGTATAGCTTTACTCTAATTGCTTCTGCCAATTCAAAGTCTGTGGAAACTGAAAGGAAAATATAAAACATCATTTAAAATAAATAGATCTTAATGTAAAAGCTAACAAGTATAGCAACTGTCCTACTGTTGCATTGTGTGATTTCAAACACTTTTTAAAAGTGCTGTGAACTCTGTGGTCCTGCTGTTGTGACCTAGAGAGCTAAAATCCTCTTTAATGGTATCTTGCTTCTAGGCAGGATTTAGGTTCGCTACTTGTGTTCACTTGTTCACTGACATTAGTTCTAATTCTGAGGCCAGTGCTGGAAAATAGCACTGATGTGCACTGATGTGCCTTGTGTGATCTGTTTGGTGGTCATCTTAATAAGAATTAGAATTAGCACACCAAGCAGCACTTTAATAAAAACTGTCTCTTAAAACTTACTCCAAGAATGTGTTGTTGATTCTGAAATTACAATATCATTATATTGTTAGTGATTTCTTTGCAGGAAGTAAGACATAACTATGAACAGGTAGCACTATTTGGAAAGAGCATCAAGAAACTGAGGCTGTAATCCCACTAATGACCCATTGAAAAAATCTGGGGAAGCCACTCAGCCTCCCTGTGTTTTGACTTCTCTCTCTTACATGGTGTAAGATATTTACCTCCTCTGTGAAGAGTTCTCAAGTGAATTTTGATGAAATGTGTTATAGAAAATACAGATACTGATAATATTTTGATAGACTCACAGGATCAAAAGTGGCTGAATATCCAGGAGAATTATCATTCTCCCTAATAGTTCACAGCCGCAGTAACTTTTGCTGACTGGCAAATGGCTAAAGCCTGGAATTTCTGCTTTATTTAAAAGACATGAAATGTATAATTACTAACTCAGAAGCATTAGAGTTGAAGGGGAATGTATAATGTATAAGCACATATCAGAAGATACTGCTTCATATGCAATTCAGAGTTAAGGGAAACAAACTTTTCTAAGAAAAGAAACTGTACTGATACCCATAAATACTTAGGTTATGTAAAGCTATGGACCAAAAAATTAGAAGATAATCTTTCCTGTTTTTTTTCTTTTCTTTTCTTTGTTGTTATTGTTTAAGGATATTTTCATTGTCAATATTATCTGCAGTTATAGCAGAAAGCTTTTATCTGACATTTCTTGTATGTCCGAGTCCATAGTTGTAGCCAATGAGGGATTCAGAGGGATGTTCACTGATATACCGTTAAATAATATCTATGTATGCATTTATTTATCTATCTATTTATTTATTTATTTCCTTAATCACATTAGAAAAAACATTATTGGGCAAGAATACTCACAAACTTGCTTTTCAGTTTAACATTTGCTTTTTTAATGTTAACCCCATGATGGCTTATTCAGTGTGTGATTTTTGCAAACAATTTTTTCAAGTACTACCTTGAGTCTTATTACTTAATCAAGAGTTGCACTGAATTTTGCCATGATAGCTGGAGAAGTGTGAAGTGTGAGAATTCTTAATTCAACACTTAAGCAGAAAACAAAAGTCTTAGAGAACCCCTGAAGTGATATGTTTTTTGAATTGAAACGGAAATGTTTGCAATGGTGTATTAGCCTGACACCACATATCACTGAAAATTAGTGTGGCGTGTCATCCTGGTGAGCAAACCATTTTTTCTGGGAGAAGAAGTAGGAGTTGGTAAGGTGAGAATGTTCAGATATTGACAACAGTCCCTAGTAGGAGAATCAACACAAGCCTTGACAGAGTGTCTAAACAGCAATTCAAAGAGAATGCTTGATTATTCAAGCTAGAAGAAACTGCTGAGGAAAAGAATTGTCTGCACTGAGGATCTCTATGGACCATTCAGCTTGGTGGCAGCTACAGATAAAGAGATCCTTTTTTTTTTGCTTTGCTTTGACATTACTTCTATTGAATTAGCTTTATCCTGACTTTGTATGCTTTCTGTGACATATTAAACAGAACCAGTAACAGTTAGATCTGTCCTGAGTCAGCAGAATTTTTAAGGAAAACTGAAAGGTATCATTAGTTTAGATTGCTTTGGAATCTGTTGTGCAAAATCCTTAAAGCACAAAAGAGGATATAAGAAATGTCAACATAAAAATCCATCATTAGACTTTTCCAGTGAGAATTTCATGGACTGACTGTTCAGGGCACAACATCTATTTTGAAAGGACAGTTCATTGTCAATCCTACCTCATTCAAAATGTGTATTTCTTCACAATATAGTCATGTGCACATTGAATTCTGCATATATATTATCCTTATTTATTTAGTCTTTTTTGTTTGTGGTCTGCCTTTACAATATTTTACAGAAATGTTGGGACGGGCTACAGTTGTTAAAAATTACGTATGCTGTTTAGTGCAGTGGCAATGATTTATGTTGTTATGTAGTATAAGTGCTATGGAGATATGCATTACAAGGTTGGATGGAGATTGTTACAATGATAGTGCAGAGCATATATTTGCCAACTTTTCAGGTGATGGAAAGGGAGAACATGTTACCGGGACTCTAATGATGAATTTAG